ACCCTTGTTTGCATGTTCATCATCCAAGCAAGCAATGTTGAAGTCTGTCAGTGCAGGATCAGTTCAGAAGCATTCGTTCTCTCAGCACCAATAAATCACTGTGTGTCAGAGGCACTTAGCATTATTTGACATCCTTGGATAACCTCTCTTAAATGCATTGCTGCTGCTGTATTCTATGAACACTCATGCTCGTTGCATGTAGATCATTTTTAAAACACCTTGTATCCATGTAGGAGCACATGTAATTTTCATATAACTTGTACACAAATGTTAGGGGGTTAAAATCTGTAGCATGTCCTCTTGAACCCACTTTTGCTGTTTGTGGTGCTGGGGTGAATGCAGTAAGTCTGATTGCTTTCGGGTTTGATGTCATATTTGCTCACACAGTTTATTTAATCAAAAACAATACAAATGAAAGGTAGCTGTTACTTTTTTAATATACTGATTTGCTGCTTAAGACAAATGTATTATCAATATTAAAAGCTGCTGTTTAAAAGGATAGTAGTCACCTGAATTGTATTCACCTGAAGATTTTAGCTGATACTAGGGTACTTGGTGGTTCATTAAATGCAAGCCAACATCTACTGGCACTTTAAGAGTAAACAAAGAACAAAAGAAGGAAAAAATCAACATATAAGACAAGATAAATACCCATGACTACAGATTACTTGATTATAAATTGAGGTCTTATTAAAAATATCACCATTCAGTTTGTGTAACAAATTAAACATTATTTATTTTAACAAATTCTACATTTTAATGATTTTTTGTTATTTCTATATGCATTTTTCATTAAATAATGCATTTTTACCTATGTTAAATTTGTGAGTACGATATTTCATATAAATAATTAATATAGTTATTATAGTACCTATATGTATAATTAATGTATTACCTAAATGCATGTTAGTTTTTTCTTCTTCACTGTAAAAAGTGGTTAGTTTCTTTATGTGAAAAAAAAAGGGTAAATCTTTTTACTTAAAAACTAATTCTGTGAAATGGTGGCTCAGTGGTTAGCACTGTCACCTCACAGCAAGAAGGTTGCTGGTTCGAGTCCAGGCTGGGTCAGTTGGCATTTCTGTGTGGAGTTTGCATGTTTTCTCCGTGTTCATGTGGGTTTGCTCCAGGTGCTCCAGTTTCCCTCAAAGTCCAATGACATGCACTATAGGTGTGTTTGGATGTTTCCCAGTGATGGGTTGCAGCTGGAAGGGCATCCGCTGCGGAAAAAATATGCTGGATAAGTTGGCGGTTCTGCTGTGGCAATCCCTGATTAATAAAGGGACTAAGCTGAAAAGAAAATGAATGAATGAACGATGCAGAAAGAAAATTAATGAATGAATGAATGAAGGAAAGATGAATGAACAACAAATAAATTTTTATAATTTTTCATACAAATAATTTATATTTCAGCTCATTTTAAGACAATGGTTTACTTACTTTTTTAAGTAAAGTCAACTAATAGCTTTTACAGCATTCTTCTTTTTAGATTTTAACATTTTTATCTTACGACTAAATTTAAAAAATCTGTCAAAACCAATGTGTTGTGGCCAATTGTTTTAGAGCAGGGGTCTCAAACTCAATTTACCTGGGGGCCGAAGGAGGCAAAGTCTGGGTGAGGCTGGGCCGCATAAGGGATTTCACAAAAAAAAAAAAAGTCCTCAAATGTCATTATTAACAGTTTTAATTATTTTTTCTGAACATGAAGTGTCCTGAACATTAATAGAACATTGAGTGAAGATTATGAACAGTTCTTCTGAACATGGCATCTTTTGCCTACTCCTTGCTGCCAAAGACTTGACAGCGCTTCTTCTCACAAATCTGAACCACATTTGGCTTTAGAGCGGAAGCAGTTGAGACCCTCAGTATGGCTTGAAGATGATCATCATTAAGTCTAGACCTGTACTTTGACTTATTGAAGTTCAAGGTGGAGAATAACTTCTCACATACTTCTCACACACTCAAAACTTCCATTCCCTCAACTAAAAAAAAGGCGTATATATGTATAAATAAAACACCCCCACCCCACTCCAGTCACATCAGTCTGTGCCAGTCTGTATCTACCTATAATATATATAAGGCTGTAGCTAGGTAGGTGGCAGGCTGCAGATAGGTAGCTAAGTGGCAGGCAGGGGCGGGAACAGCTTACCTTGGTTCTGGCCGGGGCGCCCGTCACAGCGTCTAACAAAGGGGCGGGGTGCGTGGTGACGTAACCGGCATCCCCGCCCCTTTGCTGTGTACGGATAGAATCAGCAGAGCGGGGAGCGCTCTCTCTCCCCGCTCCGCTGATTCTGTCAGGCCCTGTTTACACTAGTGCGTTTTAAAACTGCGTTTTAGAATGAAAACAATCCGCGTCCACACTCGCGTTTTACCCAGCGTTTCTGAACTGCTCTCTGTCCACACCAAAACGCTGAAAACGCACGTCACGTGACCACACAGACACACTTTGGCAAGCGCTGCAGCCTGTCTACCCAGATGAGAGCTCTGCTAGTCGGACTTCTCATCAAGCATCTCCCGCTGGATCTAATCTCACTATATTTATTAAACGTGATATTTCATTCATCTTGTTGTCTTTATCTAACGACATATTCCCTGACTTTGGTCATTGGAATCTATTACTTGTTCTCAGGTAACCTGTTTTAGCTGAGCGCAAAGATAAGTTAATGATTAATGTAACCACGTAGCCTACATTCTGTATATTGACTGATCGCTTGCCTTTATTTCCTATAATGTATAAACTTATTGTATGTTATACTTTTATAATGGCCATTATCGATTATTAAAATTGATAATCAGCAAAAGAAAGGGTGTGTTTCCTATTTTCACTGAAATTGAAAGGAGGCAGTTGTTATCGGCTCGTTTTGTTATAAATATCCACACAGTGAAGATGACGCTCCTATATACAGCACGGCGCCTCAACATTTCTGCTGTCTGTTTAGTTGTTAATATTAAAATAAAAATAGGCAGTTCCTTAAATCATGTTTACATTTTATTGTTGAGAAAGTGAAACAACGTAGCCAGGGTGATGTGAATGAAGTTATAAAGTACACTGTTCCCTGTGAAGATTGACGCGTGTCCTCGGTATGTTTTCCATATCAAACTGAGAAGAAGAGATGCAGCCTTGATCAAACTTGCGAAGTCTGAACTTACACGGAGAAGATTCAGGACTGAACTGTGTGTTAGGCTACTTAATATTGAGGAAAAGCCCCAATCAGAGAGGCGAATGTCTGCAGCCCCGCCTCCGTTTTCAGATGTCTCCGTCTTTCCCCATCCACAATGAGACGGAGCAGCAGCGTTTCAGAATGAAAACAGCCTCTCCAGCGTTTTCGAAACGATCCGTTTTCAGCGCTCGAGAACTCCGGCGTAGTGTGGACGGATTCTGTCAGTGTACAGCGGTCGGCGCGGGCCACAAAATATTGCACTGCGGGCCGCAAATGGGCCGCAAATGGGCCGCGAGTTTGAGACCCCTGTTTTAGAGGAAACGCTGTAAATGACTATGTTTTGATTGGAAATTTGGATGAAATGTTACCAGAACAAAACATATTAAAGTGCACCTATAGTGAAAATCAACTTTTGAAAACTGTATGGACAAAACTGTGTGTATGTATAGTGAGTCCACAGTCATATGATGTAATGAGTGATGTAAACACAACAAGTCTCTTTTTTATTTTCTGACATTGATTTTGAGGCCCACCACAACGTGAAGTAGGTGTGCGGTTTTCCCCGCCCACAGAATTAATTGGCAGGCGCCATGTTACTATAATAACATATATACATGTCTACAGAACATTTTTGTTCCCAAAGAAACTGCATGGGATTAAAATATTTGCTAGAACTCTCTGTGATTTTTATAAGTTTTATAAGTTTAAAGCGTTTTTAAAACTGAGCCTGTTTGTCGTAAAGAAAGTAAAATCGCTATGTAACTCTTAACTGCTATAATCACCACGGCCGCATAATATCCATAAACGCTAGTGTGTGTGTGTGTGTGTGTGTGTGTGTGTGTGTGTGTGTGTGTGTGTGTGTGTGTGTGTGTGTGTGTGTGTGTGTGTGTGTGTGTGTACTGCAAACGGAATTTGTGTGAGAGCTTGAAAAAAAAAATCCAGCACAAATACATCAAATAAACTTAATTGGTATTTTTGGCTAGTGATGATATTTCGTATTAGGTTCAGAAATGTTTACTTTTATGGCCAAAATAAGTTCTGTTCATGGTCTTTAAAGTGAAATAACTCAACATAAACATAAAAGGCTGAGAAAAATCCTCATTTTCATTATAAATTTCAGACGGCACTTAGAGGTTTTTGCATCAAAACTTTGCGTGTATTCCGACACCAAAATGGACAGATTCTGAAGACTATAATAAATGATCAGATGGATATTTTGAGCTGAAACTTTTCAAGAAAAAAAATAAGACTAGAAGATTTAAGATATATGACTAGATATTAGTTTAATGCTGCTGCGATAAAGAATCCTCAGCATCTTCAGATCCACAATGGCTGCCTTGTCTCCACCCTGAGCCTCAATGGCAGTCTTGTGCAGAGAATCTCCCTCAAGAAGAGGGTTTCCGCTGTCAAGAGCTCTGGGTCTTTCCTGCAGTAAACACAGCTCTGATTGTGCAGCAGCCGGATGTCAGGAGGAGGAGAAGCCACTCAAAAGCTCTCTGTGAAAGCTCATGTTGCTTCTTTTGAAGTCCAGCAGCTTCTTGCTTTTAATCTGTCTCTCTCTCTCCTCTCTCTGGTTATAATATAAATGTGTAATGCGCTTCTACATGTAATGTCCTTCCTGCACCAGTGTTCTTAGAGCACTTTCAAATATTCATCATCGCTGCAAAGAGTTATGGTGATATCTGAGGCTTCATTCCAGGGTCTTGCATTATTGTTGGAGAGATTAGATTTTGATTATTCATGCTGTTGTTGCAATCAAATGCCTAACACAAATATATATTGAGTCAACAGATTATTACAACATGCAGAGGTGGTTTCTAATATTTTTCTCCTTGTTTTCAGGCATGTCTTTCATAAAATGTGTGTGGATCCATGGCTAAATGAGCACTGCACCTGTCCAATGTGTAAACTCAACATCCTTAAAGCACTGGGGGTTATGGTGAGGACACACACACACATACTCACATTGGTATTGGGGGTTTACGAGGTCTCTCCCTATAGGCATAATGTATTTTATACAGTAAAAAACACTTATTATTTGGCCCTATCCCAACTCTGCTACTAAATCCAACTCTCACAGGAAAACTGTGTCTAATTCTGAATGTGAAAAGACCCTGTTTAAAATTATACAGTATTTAAGCATTTTGAATTATAAGGACACAAGACACGTCTTCATATACCATTTTAATAGAATACATCTAGGTCATACATGTATACATGTCATTAAACGCACGTTATATACTTCATTTTTCTTTTTATACCATTGAGGATATCCCAGGTGTCCCTAAAGGGAGGTTTTGTCATTTACTGTATGCCTACGCTATCTTCTGGGAACAGTTTTCTCCAAAGTGCAACTAATGAATGTTCACAGTTAAATTTAGTACAAAAACAGTCTCATTGATCTCAGAGGGCAGCATGTTTTGACATTATAAGACTGTTATTTGATTTGTTGTATTAATGAATTTATCAGGATGTATGCTCTTGAAAATAACATCAATTCCTGCAGTTTTTTCCGAACTTGTACCCCCCAATGAAAACTCAATCTAGGTTTTTGCACCCAACACAATGTAATAAGCTAAGAAAAATTGCAGTGTAATGATGTTTTGCATCAGTGTGGAGAATATATGAGCCAGTTGCTCCCTCTGGTGGTCACATTGGTAATGTCATGCAATTTTTCTGTCTGAAAACAAATATTTATGTTTGTTTTATATCTTTTTTGTTTAGTGTGATTAAGCAATTAAACCAAATAACCAAAGTTAACAAGTTTAAAACTTTGAAATGTTGCTAATACAACTCATTAGACCTGTCATGATATCTATTTTTTGTTGTACGATATATTGCACCAAAATGTATTGCAATAAACAATATTATTGTCATTTTAAGACTATTGTATGCCACTTATTATATAATGCCGGAATGATAATATAATATCATTACAATGCACTTTTCCAAAGAACACATAATATTTTATTCTTAAGAATATTTTATTTAATTATAGTCACTTTAACAATTTAATGAATAGGCAACGGAATCAGAATGTGAAAGCGCATTTCCTAAATAAATATTACTAAATGTTAATAAAAAAGTGCAAGGTGAAAGGTAACAGAGGCTGCAATAGCTGCTACCAGATCTAATTTCAGTTGTCAGAGACCTACATGAAAATATACTATAAGTAAATACTATAGTATTTTTTTTAACCACACTGGCACTGACATCCCCTATAGATATAGAGATGCTGCAGAATCAGCTAAAATGTTGCTAGAATTTTATTTTATGTATGGGCAATATATATTGCATCACCTCAAATTATTGGGGTCATGTCCATGTGTTGTGCGATAGGCCTACCCATTATATGCTCTTTATGCATTAGCATTTAGAGAACATATTGGTGCTTCTGTGCTTCCTTCAAATTATTTATTATAATTGTCTTTACTTGGTCTTAAAATCTTAATCAGGGTTAAAGTCAGATCTAATCTTTTGCTGTGATCATGTTAAAAAACAGTTAAAAGATGTAGGTAAATATTAGTTCTTTAGGAGTAAGATCTTTATGGGTGTTTAAATAGAAAATGCAATCTAAGTTATTTAAAAAAATGCATATCAATTCAGTTTGACTAACACGTTAATGTACTTGCAGCCCAACCTGCCATGCGTGGACAACATGGTGTTCGACATGGATCGGATGTCCCGCAGTCAGACCTCCAGCCAGAGGACAGCACTAGTGGACCTGTCCTCAGAGACCAGCATCAGTCTGGAGCCTCTGCGCCACTCCAGTTCCTCCCAGCTTCCCTCCGACGAAGAGCTCATTCCTCGCTCCGGAGAGATTAACATCGCTGTCACCAGTAAGAGTCCTATTCTGTCTTAGCAGAACAGTGTTGCCAGATTGGGTTGATGATTTCCAGGCCAAAAATTGGAGACAATGCACACCAGGTTCAGGTATCAAAAAATAAGGTTTGCCTGTGACAACGTCAACATTCTTGACTCTGCAGAGGGTGTGTGTTTGATAATGTCATGAGGACTGCTTAGATGGAGATCTGTATGATTTTATTTGTTAGCCTACACATGTTTTGAGAATTTGACTTAGTAATCAACTAATCAGGCGTAAATCCGCCCAAAATGGCAACACCTGTCTGGACTTTCTTAAAGTTGAAGTGTGTCATTTCAGCGTCCCTGAACAGAATTACTCAACTAAATTATAAATGAATTTATTTTTACACTAATCGCTAAACGATTATATATATATATATATATATATATATATATATATATATATATATATATATATATATATATATATACATATATACATACATACATACATACAGTTGAAGTCCCTCTCGAAGTATTCATTTTTCCCCAATTTCTGTAGGAGGATTTTTTTCAACCCATTTCTAAACATAATAGCTTTAATAACTTATTTCTAAAGATTTGATCTGATTCCTTTTATTTTTGCCATGATGACAATAAATAATATTTCACTAGATAATTGTCAAGATATTAGTATTCAGCTTAATTAGCTATTTAAAGGCATAACTAGGTTAATTAGGCAAGTTAGAGTAACTAGGCAACTCATTCTAAAATGATAGTTTGATCTGTTGATAATTGAACAAATATTGCTTAAAGGAGCTGATATTATTGACCTTAAAATAGTTTTAAAAAATTTAAATCTGCTTTTATTCTAGCCGAAATAAAAGAAAAATTGACTTTCTTCAGAAGAAAAAATATTATATGAAATACTGTGAAAATGTCACTGCTCTGTTAAACATCATTTGGGAAATATATAAAGAGAAAAAATATTCACAGGAGGGCTAGTTATTTTTACTTCAACTGTCAGTCAAGTGATTTTAATTTTAATCTAATGTGAGACAGAATTATAAAAAGCACACTTCCCCTTTAAGTTTGTTCCCGTCGCTTTTATTTCCACCTTCTCCTTCATTTCCTCCCCAGAGGAGTGTGAGCTTTCCTGACTTTAGCACACTGACTGCACTGCTCCACCTGTAGTTCAGGACATCTGTGTGCTGCTGAAGCTGAGCTCAGTGACGTGAGCAGGTGTCTGCTCGACCGCAGTGTGTTCTGCCCTTTACTGCAATACCTCTTTCGCATTACACTACTCAAGTCACTGCGTCACAATGCAATCTGTGGTGACTCTTCTCATGCATAAAATAATTTTACTATGTTGTGTAAGTTGTGTTTTTTGAATTACCTGTTTTTTGCTTTCTGTGTGCTTTTTTATTTTAGTTGTTTAATAGTTTTATGTTTTGAATGTTGCATATAAAAATTTTATTAAGGAGTGAGGATAATTAAATTACAGGTTATAATGCTGATAATGAAATTTTTGGGCTAGTGGTAGACAATTCTTTATTTTGTTTGTTTGTTTGTTTGTATGTTTGTTTGTTTGGCAGGGACAAGGTACATTAATTAACATTGCTGCAAAGGAACCAGAATTAGCCAGAAAAATACAAACATAGTTAAGCAGATAAATGTATATGAACATTTAAATAAAAATGTATATGAACAAAATAAACTAAAAACAGCAACATTATGTAATAGAGATAAGAGTAGCTAAAACATACTGTACAGTATTTAAACCACAAATCATTAAGATGGCAGGCACAAGTGGTAACATGATGGGTAGGTACATGCTAATACGAATGATGACACATCTGATGTTCATTAGATGTTTACGCACAATGTAAATTTTAAATGTAATGGCAATATTATCTCACTCAAACCTTTATGAAAGCTTTCACACAAAATAATATTGTGAAAAATGCTGGAAACCTGTTACCATTGATATCGAGAAAAGAAAAACCCCAAATACTAATATGGAAACCAAAGGTTACAGGTTTTCAGCATTTTTCAAAATATCTTGTTGTGTTAGGGTGAGTAAATGATGGCATGAATTTGTATGTTCGTGTGAACTATATTCTAAATAATGTCTAAAACCAAAGATGTAGCATGTAGTTGAGCTTCGTAATTATTCATTTTTCTATCTGTGTCCGTCTGTCTGTCTGTCTGTCTATGTTTACTCTATCTATCTATCTATCTATCTATCTATCTATCTATCTATCTATCTATCTATCTATCTATCTATCTATCTATCTATCTATCTATCTATCTATCTATCTATCTATCTATCTATCTATCTATCTATCTATCTATCTATCTATCTATCTGTCTATCTGTGTGTTGGTCTATCTGTCGGTCTGTCTATCTCTGTCTGTCTGTCTGTCTGTATTGTCTGTCTGTCTGTCTGTCTGTCTGTCTGTCTGTCTGTCTGTCTGTCTGTCTGTCTGTCTATCTATCTATCTATCTATCTATCTATCTATCTGTCTATCTGTGTGTTGGTCTATCTGTCGGTCTGTCTATCTGTCTGTCTGTCTGTCTGTATTGTCTGTCTGTCTGTCTGTCTGTCTGTCTGTCTGTCTGTCTGTCTGTCTGTCTATCTATCTATCTATCTATCTATCTATCATCTATCTATCTATCTATCTATCTATCTATCTATCTATCTATCTATCTATCTATCTATCTATCTATCTATCTATCTATCTATCTATCTATCTATCTATCTATCTATCTATCTATCTATCTATGTAAATAAAATAAACAACTTCTATTTATTTTTATAGTCTTTTTTTCTTCACTCTCCAAAACAGATTTCTTTACAAATCTCTGTGGTGTTAATTTGATTTTTTACAGTACTTATTTATTTCTTATTACAGTTTTTATCAGTCACTTTGGTGCGTTTCTCACAACACTAGTGCATTTCTGCACAACAGTTATTACTTTTTTAAAACAAGTAGTCACTTGCTCAAAATGGATAGCTTATTTGTCAAAAGCAAGTATTGATGTCAATGACAATGTCAGTATCATCAAGATGTAAAGTCCTGACACCATTGTTTATGAACAAGATAGTCAAATGGCTTTGTCATGTTTTCATTATGACAGTTCACTCTACATTTTCCAATGCGAAAAAGTCAGATTTTGGTGACACTTCCTGAAAATGCTCAAGACAGCACTAGATACTATTTGCACAGCCATTTGAAAACTACAGTAAAGTCAGACATCACTGCATTTAGTGAGGTATCTGAGTACAAGACACTGAATATGCATGCTTCATACTTTTACTGCATTTGCTCTTTACAAATCTAATTTATTCACAGCAGTGTGCAAAAGAATAAATACCCCCTTATTTACAACAAACATAAACTCCCTTTAGAGCTGTGCATAACTGTAAACAATAATGCAGAACATATTAGAACTGAACCTACAACACACACAGGTCTGTAAATCATTCTTGAAATTGTTCGATTTGGAAGACATTTTCCGGAAAACAAAAGATTTAAAATGTTGTATAAAATTAGCTTGACAGATTTTGACAACTAGTTCATCATTTTTTTTTTTATGTCTCAAGTAATAAAATAAGGACTATTAGTTTTATATGGAATGACTATTCGGCATTTACAAGTTTAGATCATTTTGACTGACATGACATAAGCAAATGATAATGTTATAAAACAGTAGAGTTGTATGAAAGCAATTGATGCATGTCCGAAAGCATTTGCAGTATGTTGGAAGGAATGAGAAACTGCCAATATGATGTGCACAAATGACTAATTGTTTTGAGAAATGCATTAACTGTTGTACAAATGTAAATAGTGTTGTGAGAAATGCACCAAAGCCACTTAGAAAAACTGTAATGAGAATTTCAGTAATTTCAGTACATCTATAAGTAATAAATTTACCTTTGTTTCTAACAGCAGTGTACAACAACACACTCCTATTTTTTCGCCCTTATCGCTCTTCTGTCTGTCCTTGTAGTGATTGTGAAACAACTGGAATGTCTATTCCTCACCATGCAAAAAACAATAAGCTCATACTGGTTGATCAATATTTAACCATTTATTTGTATCCCAATTCCAGCCGATCCATTTGTTGACTCCATGCTTCCCAGATCGGTACTTTTTCATTGTATGTTTATTTGATCTTCTGTGTTTGCTCATTCTCCTTTCACCTGTCATAAGATGGGGTCTAGTTTTTGATGTCAGCATCTGTGTAACCAGACTGTCCTCAAGCTAGTGACTCATCTCTGCTCAAGCTGGCTGTAAATAACGGTCACCCTCTCCCTCGCCTTCTGTCTGAAGTTATTTTAGTGTTCAGGCTGTGCCTGCAATTTTAATCAGGTTTCACAGAACAATAACAACAAAACTTGTTGAGTGCAATGAAACTAAACCAAAGAACCCGAAAACCGCATACAAGTAGAATGAATCAACACTCAAGCAACTACACACCCTTGTTGCAGAAACAGATGTAAGGTAATTACCCTTTTGTAAGATAATTTATTATTTACCAAGCATTTGTTCTGGTGCTGTGTCTGTAAAATAATATATTCAGCAATTTTAACCCATCCCGTAGGCTTGTATCGTGGTGATTAATTATGTTAAATAACCCAAAGCAGGTGTTGAACAGCTCTGCACTTTATTCATGCTTGTTGTTTGTAAAATCGTAGTACTGCATGTTTAAAAGAAATCAGTAAATAAGTAATGTGTATTTGTTCACAGAATTGTACTGCAAAATCTCTGGCTGCTCTACTGCATCTTCCTAACAGATGCCAGAGCCTCACTGCTTTGTAGATGCCAGCACTAAGTGTCATGTGCTGTGAATGTGCTGCGTTTTGTCTTGTTTTCGCGATCATGGCTTGCCTCTGGTTTCCTCTCCTTCTCCACGGATTAGAGAAGTCTTCCTCTTTTCTTCGCGCCTCCGCCTGTCTCCAGTTTCCGCTTCTTTTGGGCTGTCTGTCGAGATTATTCGGTGGCCCCGCCCTCAACATTAAATGACCCCT